TCAATCTTTCCCAGCATCAGGGTCTTTTCCAATGAGTCAGCTCTTCGCATCAGGTGGCCAAAGTATTGGTAGTTTCAGTTTTAACATCAGTCCTTCCAATGAACACCCAGGACTGATCTCCTTTAGGATGGACTGGTTGGATCTTTTTGCAGTCCAAGGGACTCTCGAGAGTCTTCTCCAACACCACAGTTCAAAAGCATCCATTCTTAGGCGCTCAGCTTTCTTTGTAGTCCAACTCTCACATCCATACATGACCACTGGAAGTATAAATGAATGCAAATATTTTCAGTGTGATAACTGAACTGGAAACATTCCCGTTGGAGGAACAAGTACAGAATTCTCAAAGGAGTGAGACTGATAACATAAAAGTAGGAAAATTAGAAGTGATTAATGCTGGGATTTCAATCAATAATGGACTTTTTATGGGCTCAAATCTAATTCCAGTAGTCCTTAAAAGTATTTTAGATGTGTAAGGTGGTGGAAGGAACACTGAATTTGGTATTAGTAAGATCTGGGATTTGATTTTTGTTATCTGTGTAACTTTGAGGAAGTCACTCCTCTTCTCGGGACTTGGAATCCTCATCTAGAAAATTAGGAGTTTGTGCCAGACGCTTTTAGATCCAACATCTGTGACTCTGGCTACATTACAAATTAGCACACATATTAGCATATATTTTCTAAACTTCTGGAAAATCATAGATTTATTTCCTAAAAGCTAGACTATTTTCAAACACTCACTTTTGTGTCCATTGTTAACTTCATATCCATTCATCAATAAAAAGGGACACATATTCATAGGGTGAAATCAAAGCTACTATTAATGCTAATTAGAATGAAGGGTAAGCATTTACTAAAACCTGTCTTCAACTTCCAGAAGATTTTTCTAAAAATGTAAACTACAAGAATCTGCTTGTTGTTGTTTTCCAGTTGCTAAGTTGTGTCTGAGGCTTTGCAACCCAGTGAGTGTAGGCTGCCAGACTTGTCTGTCCATGGGATTTCTCAGGCAAAAATATTGAAGTGGGTGGCCACTTCCCTCTCCAGAGGATCTTCCTGACCTATATTCATGGATTCTTCACCATTGAGCCACCTGAGAAACCTAAACATCTGCCTAAACCCCAAAAGAGCTTTGCAACGACTATTTAAAAATAAAAAATCATGATCCCTAATGGGTTCTATTTTAAGATATAATATAAAACAAGGGAATTCTAGAAAGATGGATACACAACATTCCAGTTGGATAGTATAGTTTCTTCTTTCTCATTAGGTCCAGTCTGAAGTCTTTGCATATTCCCTTTAAAGACTTCTCACCTTCCTTAAAGCACGACTGTGAAAGTCTAGAAAACAACTCTGTGCTTTCTCACCATTCTCTCTCTGATGTAGGAAGCACCTGATGAAGACGGAAGAGCCTGAGAAACCCCTGGGCTGTGCGCCCATGTTAGTACAGATTCTACAGTTCACACATTAGATTTCACCATCTCCAGTCATACGCCAAAAGCACAATTAGTGAAACAGGGTAGATGACTGCAGTTAAAACACAAAATGATGTTTTTGGAAATCCTGTTAAGAGTACCACTTATGAGAAATAGCATCCAACTGATATATTCAGTGTTCAAAACTTATCACCCAGTGGTAAAAGGGGAAGGCCGGGTGCCACAGCACATACTAAGCTCCCAGAGAGGATGGATAATACAGATGAGCAATTTTCTTGTTGTTAACTAGCTCGTTACAGGTAAAATTGATGAGGCGGCAGGCCACCAATTAAAATAAACAGAATAAATGCAGCAAAGAACCATCTTCAGTTAAAACAGGGAGTATCTTTACTATCCTGCTTGCGGTGTCACTTCATACAGTGTTTGGCCCTGGAAGAGGAAGATGGGGTAAGTGAAACAGCAGAGCTGGTCTGTAGATGAGGCTATAGTGCAGTTCGTGGGAATACAGGTCCTGAAAGATATTAGCACAAGGTATGCCAACTCCAGAGAGTTAGTTCAGTTCAGTTGCTCAGTCATGTCCGACTCTTTGAGACCCCACTGACTGCAGCATGCCAGGCCTCCCTGTCCATCACCAACTCCTGGAGTTTACTCAAATTC